CTTCCATATGTACTGCAGGAACTTGGGCAACTTCAAGCAATCTAATAGTGCCTTCATAGTCAATAAGAGTACCACCTTTTATATCAGCTTTAGTCTTGTCCGTTACTTCCATGAGAAATTCAGCATCAGTATCGACCATATATTGAAGTATATTTAAATCAACAACAGCACCTAAATTATCAACATTAGAAACAAAAATATATTCTTTTCCATCGGAAAGTAATTGATCCAATATTCCAGAGTTACACATGGATTCAAACAAATCACCGTGACCTGGTGGATACCTTTTTATATAATAAAATATATTTATTCGAACGCGAAATTTATAAGCGCCGATCATTCCAGAATATAATATTAAAGAACGAAAACTTACCATTGACTTATATCAGCATTGGGAAGACGAGGCGTAGGTAACAAAGATTCCTTGTTTATTCTTGGATAACGTGATTGATTGAAAGTGAGGATGTCAATTTTATGACTTGAATATTTTTGGATGATGCGCTTCGTTTCTTCATCAGTATTAAACGAGTTCATAAGTATGAAAGGCACATTGACATTATGTTTACTATTGAGATACTACGTCATATATATAATGTCAAATAAATGCATTGTCGTCGTCCAAAATCAATTTATTAAAAGATAATCGAATGTACCTCAATTTGTCTCACACTTAAATCCAAGAACGTCATTCCATCTCTAACTTCAATGGCACTTTTTGGACCTACACAACCCATTGTAGTTCCCAGACCACCATTTAGTTTAAGGACTGCCAATTTGTCAAGAAATTCGGCATTCTCACATTTTGGCAATTTTTTATATGGAATGATTTGTTCAGGACTTGGTTCTTTAACCTTTTCCCAATCCCTTTAAAAAACAATATATATTAATTTTTTATTAGAATTTGATTTATAAAAGTAATCAAATAACATACAATTTTGTCCCCTTAGACTTTTCACTCAAATATCGAGTGAATAACATGAAGAATTTGTCCATTTCATTTTGAAAAGCCTAATTTTTTTTTAAATTAGATTAACAGGAAGACTAAAGTTCACAATATCATCATCTAATAACTGTAATCGGAAACAAACCTTACGAGCCTTCATATCTTGAATCGTAAGAGCCATTTTATTTAATTCATTACGCATGGCATTAGCGGCGGATCCTAAAGATGTACTATGAAAATCCTGAGAAAATAAAAACGTGAATTTAGAAATATGAAAGAGAATTCAAATAAACAACATATAATGTACCACAGCAGACAAAGAGTGGGGGTGGTGCTTTCCATTATCTTTTTCAGCTGATAGGCTGTTAGACTTAGACATGATTGAAAATTCCAAGTGCGCTTATTGAAATTTAAAAGTTTTTATCTAACAAATAACAAGAACGTGGGGAAGTTGAATAAACTTGTCAAAGTTTTCACTTTATATATATAAAAAAAATAACTAAATTAAACTTTGTTTATTTCACAAAAAAAAAAATTTGACGGCAAGCTTTCCTAAACAGGAATAATGTTATAATGTTTGTCTAATTTAGTGGGATTTTAGTACGTATACATGCGTCATTATAAAGGGATCTTTGCAATTCCGTCATCTATTTTCCAATTAAAGAATGATTTTTTATGATCACGATATATTTATACAAGCAAGAATAATAATAAATTAGAAGTATAAAAAAATTTTATTTAAAAATTTTTTTTTTAAAACTTTATAGTAAGAAACTACATAAAACATAAAACGTGATGAAATCGTGATTGCGACATTATTATATTGAAACAATTTAATTTTCTTCATTCTAAGTAGCTGATATCCAACATCTTAATCTTTGGTAATAATTAGCTCTATAAATTCCAAGAATTCTTAATTCTGCTTAAATCGAAGATCAACTATTTTAACCAGGTAAAGAAATCTTTTAACCAGATTTCTAGCCCTTTTATATATAAAATTATTATAAAAAGTTAAATCTAATAATTCTTAATATTTTTAGGTTCTTAAATTTATAGGGTTAAAAGGTATAGAATTAATATAATAATTAATAGAAATAATTTATTCATTGACATGTCGCCTCACTTTTGTCACCCGTGTTACACCCCCTCCCTTTTTCATTTTTCATATATATTCTGGGACAGAGAAAATTTTTCACATGTGAAACCCGATTTGTCACCTAGGCTAGTATCACATGGTTTAGAATTAGGC